TCATTTTTGTTGCTACATTGTAACTGTAATGTTGCAACTGTTCTGAATCATAAGGGAAATTTACTTTTGGAGAGAGAGGAGTGCCAAAATGTCACAACCCACAGATTGATAGCCTCTACTGTAAGGATTGATGGGGAGAAATGAGGGATGTGGGACCATGAATTTTGCTGGACTCCACAGTCTGTCAACCACAGGAGCAAGACACTCCTGGCTGTTTTCAGTTCCTTCTCCTGCCTTTCCCAGCCTGACTCTCAGCAGCAGGCCCTCCCTCAAAGGTGACTAATAGATTCACCTGTTTGTAAACACCTTGAGCACAAGGACTCAATTTTCCTATCATTATTTGTGAACACTTTGGAGTAACAAAAGCAGCCATTTATTGTCACGTATAATATGGATTTTATACATTAACATAAACTATTTGCTATAGAATTTAAATTCTGAAATGAAAAGATATAAATACTTGCATGGTCTGAGTTGTATTTACTGTGTAGCTTCTAAGATTTGTCCTCTCTTTGCAATGCTTCTTGGAGAAATAACTCAAACTTTTCTTTGACCTGTAGATGTGGTTACCTTTCACTCACTGACTTTATCAGGAATTCATCTCAATGCACAGCCGAACAGAGGCCATCAGTGTCCTGTGTTAAATGTTAGTGGTGAAGTGCCTGCAGGTCAGTCTGGATGCTCACACTGATTTGAGAGGCTACGTTCTTGGACGAATCACCTCTGTGTGTGTCTGTGTGTGCCTGTGGGTGCCTATGTCTGTGTGTATGTGGAGGGGGTTGGGAATGCCTACTATTTGGGCTTATGTGTCTACATGTGTGTAAGAATGGAGGTAAGATGTCAACATTGGGCATCTTCTTCAGGGGACAGCCTCCTTGACTTTTTTAGAATTAAATTACACAAACACACATCCACACATTAGGGGTTGTGTGTGCTTCTGTGTGCCTGTGGCAGACAGAGGATAATTTGTGGGAGTCAGTTCTCTCCGTCAATCTTGTGAACTCCTGGGGATTGTACTCAGACCATCAGGCTGGGTGCCAAGCACCTTCAGCTATTTTTAACCAACCTACTAGATCTGGCTGGCCTGGGATTCTTTATATAGAAGTATTTGCTCCAACTCTCACAGGGATCCACCTGTCTCATCTTCCTGACTGATGGGATCACAGGTGTGAACTGCCTACCCGGCTTCAAGTTCCCTGAAGGATTAAAGCTAAATTCCTCCAAATGTTTAGGAAAGAAATTGTACCCGTTCTCCCTTTTCATTTCAGATGCAGAGCACAGCAACCTATCAGTGCATTGCCCAAGTGTGGCTGGGCAAGCCTGTCCTGTCAAGACTTGGGAGAAGAGGGAGAAGGATCAGGAGTTCAAGACTAGGCTGGGTTTCATAGTAAGTTTCAGGACAGCCTGGGCATATCTACTACTTATCTCAGAACAAACAACCAAAGCACTAAATCACATTAACTCCAACAGTAAAAAGGGATTCCACCCCTGTGGCTGCAGTTTGCACAAGTTTGCTTTCAGGCTTCTCTACCTTTCGCCGGTCTATGAGAAGCACACAACAGCCAGGGACTTCTGGTGCATGAAAGGGTTGGTTAACAGGGAACGGTTGTGAGCACGGAATAAAGACTAGAACATTGCGTTCCGGCGCACCTGCCCATGATGCACGGCTAATGACCTGCAGCAGATGGACGTACCCAAACACAAACACAGAAACTATGCAGAGAAATTCGTGCACACAAAACTCAATATATATGAATACATTGCAATTGAAACCCAGAAATCCACGTTTGGAAGTAACTACCACGGGATTCAGAGTTCTGCAGGATACTAAGCTGAATAAGAAACATATTGACCATGAGCTGACAGCCATTTAATAATTTCCACATTTACTACGTGTGCCTATTTAGAGAGTAAATCCTCTAGGAAAAATAATTGTAAACCGTTTCTTCTAAGAACAAGGTTTAATGACACCATGGTTTGAAGAAGTCAGGTCACTCTACCACCATCCCGGTGTTGCTCCCTCAGTCTGGACACAAAGCCTCCTTTCGGGGTCTCTGATCCTCTGTCCCTCTGTTCCTGTAAGCTAGCCCCAAGGTTCAGGCTCTCTCAGATGCATACCTTTTGTGGGAGACTGGAGGAGTGGAAGCAGAACCTTCACCTTCCTGGGCTCCACTGTGGGTGCAGGCAGACAGAAAGAAGGGCCCGTGGCGAACTTGAGCATACTCACAGGGCGTCAAGCCTGGAATCTCAGCTCTATTTAACCCATTGCTCCAGCTAAGCAGGTCGGCAGCATTCATTCCCTTCCCAGAGCCACACCTGTCACCTCTGCAAGCTCTGCCCTGGATGCAGAAACGCCCCGAAACACCCCCACCTCAGGTGAACAGACCATGCCCAAAATTGGCAAGGAAGCTTGGTCCACCTGGGTTCCTATTGCAATTTGTGGACGTGGATGGGACTTCACCCTCAACTAAACCTCACTCCTGGTGAATCCTTTCTCTAGATTCCAGTATCTCAATCAACACTGTGCGTGTGGCACTTTTCCTTAGCATACGGGTCACCAAGAGCTTGGGAATCAACTGAACAACTCTAATTTGTTTCTGCTGTTGTAATTTATTAAGTAATTCATAGAGAATGAGCATGACGTATGTTGAGACTTTAATTCAAATTATTTGTACTTAACAACCTCTAACTGTAAAAGTTAGTTCATAAAACTGTGCATTTCTGGCTTGGTCAGATGTGAACAGAATAAGGGATGCTTTAAAGATTTGCAGACCCTGACTTTAATGTTTGCACTCAAAAGGCGTTGTCAGCGTAGCATAAACTACAGTCACCTGGGAGAAGAAACCACAGTTGAGGAATTGTGTCCATCAGATGGGCCTGTGGGCATGACTGTGCATTTCTTCTTAATTTGTGACTGATGTGTAAGGGTCCTGCCCATGGTGTTGTGCCACCCCAAACAGGTGATCCTGGGCTCCATGACTAAGGCTGAGCCCACATGGACAGCAGGACAGTGAGCAGTGTAGCCTTATGCTCTCTGCTCAGTTCCTCTCTAGAGTTCCTGCCTGGGCTTCACTTACGATGGGTCAAGAGAACCTTCAGAGATCATATTGAACCAGGATGTGTGTCTCTTGTAATGATGGAGGCCCCCATAGCTCAGTTGGTATCAATCAGGATGTTTTTTGTTGCTAGTTTAATATTTGGTGCCTGGGTGCTGATAAGAGCACCAACTCCAGGACAGGCTATATGTAGAGCATGGGGTAGCTTCTGCATCCCTTGCCTCTTTCTTCCACACCCTCTTCATGAAAGTGATCTTCCCAACCTCTAGACTGAGTGAAAACCTGGTTCACTAGGCTAAAGATGGATGCTGCAACATTGAAGAAGAACTTTGAATGACTGTCCAGGTAGCGAGATGTCTCTGTCAATTCTAGAGTTTTGGAGTTGTTAAAATGCACTTCGTCTTAATTTAGGCAATATTATATCTTTCTGGGGTCTTTGATGGAGTTGAAGAATAGATAGTTATGGTTTTCCTTAGTTATGCTAAAAGATAAAGTAGATATAAGTATTGTAACTAAAATTCTTGCTTGATATCTGTTTTACTATATGTAAATTTACTAGGTTAAAGTTAAAACTTTCCTTTCTACATAGAAAGTGGGAGGTGATATGGAATTCCCCTATGTACACTGTGAATGTGTTTGCTTAGTGAAGAAATCTGCTTTCTTCCTATAGCAGGGAACAGTAGGGCTAGGTGGGGAAATTAAGCTGAAAGCTGGGAGAAAGTGAATAGAGTCACGGAGACACGATAGATCTATCACATGAGACAGAAGCTGGAGAGAAGCATATCAGTAGGCTGCCAATACACAGAGTAATAGAAATGGGTCGATTTCAGACATAAGAGTTAGTCAGGTATATGCCTCAACTATGGCCAAGCAATGTTGTAATTAATAAACTTTCTGTATGATTTTTTTTTCCGGTCTGGGTGGCCAGGAACAAATGAGCAGCCTCTGCCGACATCGTCCCTCACTTTCATGAACTACTAAAACATTTGTGGATTATGAGTTACTTTTTATATTGCTGAACTCATCAGTGAATTTTTTGATAATATTTTAACCCATTGGTTCCTTCACATTCTGTTGCCTACTTTTATTATTTAGATGTTTAAGTTTTCCATTGATTCTTTTAAAACTCCATTTTATATATGAGTTTGTTTCTTAGGGGGAAGCAAGGAAAGATGGGAGGTTACAGAGGGTCTATGATGTAAGGAGAGATCCTCCATCCAGACACGAGGACTCTAGTAATGATGCACACTGAGTGGGAGTCTGAAGCAGTTTCATTCCCATCAGACAAAGCTTGTCTCCACGAACCTCAAAGTTTCTCTGGAATCAGGAGATCCACCACCACCAAAAAGCAGGCTTCATTAATATCAGGCCTGTGCTACAATGACAGAAGAAGGGATCTGGAATTGAGGCTACTTGCAGGGTCACTGAATTTCTGGTGGGAATAAGTAGAAGAGACACATTCAATGTATGACTGTGTGACAGCAAAGAATCTGCCTTGACTTCAGGACAACTCAGGTGCAGGAGGGACGGATAGGAACCCTCTTTGATAGGCCCATGCTCATTGGATACATTTCTGTTGTGATAAAATTTCATACCCATGGCGCCATAAGAAAGAACATACCTGGCTCATTTATGGAGGGATAAAAGCCCATGGAGGTGGGGCAGTGGCAAGAAAGAAGCTGGAAGATTGAAGGCAAAAGCAGTAGCATTGAGTGTCACATCCCCAACTCAAGCAGGAAGTAGGGAGAGCAGGGAATAGCTTGCCCATCTCAAGACACACTCAGGACAGCCTTCTGCCACTAAGGCACTACAATATAAAGTTCTCCAAACTGTACCATCAACTGCACTTGAGGGTCCATGTGTACAAATGACCATCCATATGAAATATTTTTTCTTTTTTTCATTTTTATTGATTTTTATTGAGCTCTACATTTTCCTCTGCTCTGCTCCCTGCCTCTCCCCTCCCCTTCAACCCTCTCCCATGGTCCTTATGCTCCCAATTTACTCAGGTTGTTTTCCCATTTTCCATACCCAACACAGTTCCCCATTCCCTTCTCCCACTTCCCACCAACTTCCACAGACCCCACCCCAATTCACTCCTCAGAAAGGCCTCCCATGGGGAGTCTGGCATAACAAGTTGAGGCAGAATCAACACCCTCCCCTGATTCAGGGTTGAGCAAAGCATCTGCCATAGGGAAAGGGCTCCAAAAATGAGTTCATGCACTAGGGATAAAGTCTGGTCCCACTGCTGATGGTTGCACAAAGTGTACAAGGCACACAACTGTGCCCCACAATCAGAGGGCCTACTTTGGTCCTCTGTAGGTTCTATAGATTATCAGTCCAGAGTCAGTGAGTTCCCACTAGCTCGGGTGAACTGTCTCTGTGGATGTCTCCACCGTAAACCTCACCCCTTTGCTCATACAATCCCTCTTCCCTCTCTTCAACTGACTCTGAGAGCTCAACCCAGTGCTTACAGGGTGAAGACTTTCAGGGTGGAAATTGATTAAAATTCAATGTCTGATCTGTTGACAGCTCAGAGAATGGCTGGATTTCGTGCGTAGGGATTCGTTGATTTTTGTGCTCAGGGAATGGATGGATTTCCTGTGCAGAGACTGGTTAGCTTTTGTGCTGAGTTTATCAGAAGAAGAATGCATCTTCTAGGTCTGGTTTCTGGTCTAAAGCATGTTTCATTCACTGACCCTTTTAACATTTTGACTCTAGTATCAGGGTCACTGAAGAGGCTCTGATCTCAGGCCCGGCTCTCCTCTTTGGCTGTGATTTCAGGGACAATGGGGTTTCTTTGGCTCTGCAAAGAGAGTGCTTCTTTGGCTGTACCTTTGACTCTACCCTACCCAGAGCAAGTTCATCAAAACATTCCCGTGAAAGCCTGTACAGCACTGTGGTCATATTCTTCTGCTCAATTTCACTTCCTCCACTCCATCACTGTGACGAATATTGGTTCATTTATAAATGCTCACCCTCTTCTTGCTAATATCCACAGTCAAAAACCTCATTTTTTTGTTTGTGGAATAGCCTTCTTGTCTATGATAAAATCTCTAGATGTAGCTACACTGTGCATAGCAGAAGAGTTCAGAGATCACTGTGTCTAAGTATGGACTCCTCCCCAGAATCTGAACATGTGTTGCTACACTCTTGTTCAGTTCCTTTACGTATATTATCCTCCGGATTTTTCTTCTATCTAAGGGCCTGAAAAGGCATCATTTGGTTATTTGGGATATTTCAGATTTCAAGACAGAAAATTCATAGCTATAATCTTTCATTCTAAAAGTACACGATTTTTTTTTCTAGCATTGCATGTCCTAAAATTTCCCACAAAATACAGTGGCTTAAGTTGAGCTCAACATCATGGGCCGCCAATGGAAGAGGACAGGCTTGGAAAGGATGTCAGGATCGTAACATCTCTAGGTTCTGGTTCATGTGGGAGTTGATGCTTGCCTGCGACCACCCCCATATGCACAGGTGGGTCCTTCAGAAACAACACAGTCTTCTGTCTCATAGCACTTCTGAAGCACACATCCTGCATTCCTTGAAACATAGCAACATAGTTCAGTTTTTTTCATGTCATTGACACACAGACGTGATGATTTGTGATTTACCCAAACATGCACAGGTGGCTGCCAAGATCCTTTAGGAACAACACAGTGCTCTGACTCACATTCTATGTGAAGTAAACATCCATCAATCTATGGAACACACCAAAGTTACATAGGACATTTTTTTCAAGTCATTGATACACAATGACTTATGTGGTCATGGAGTATGTTCCAGGAAAAGATCTGGAGATGTTCCTCATGAAGATAGGCAATCTAAAGAAGGAGGAGGCTAGACCAACCACCCATCAGGTTATGTCAGCAGTGCACTTTCTCAAAAAGACACATTGCACATCATGATATCAGAGAATATCCTCCAGCATAGAACTGGTAAGGTCAAGCTTAGTGATTTTGTTATGACCACTCGGCTTAAACAGGGAAAGATGTTGGAGGAGGTTTGTGACCCTTTACTCAATATGGTCCCAGAGAAATTGGCAACAAAACCCTACGATGTTTTGGCAGGTGAGAAGTGGAGCTTGGGCATCATCCTACATGGCATGGTCACTGGCCACTTTATTGTGTAGAAACCACCCTTGATGGCATTCACAGGATCGTCACTACTACAGTGTGTCCCATTCATTACCATTTGTCAGAACTGTGTCACACTATCATTGCATGATTACTCACGGTCCACATCTGGTAAATGCTAATAATAAGTCAACTTGTGCAACAACATTGGCTAGACCACGTTAAACAACGTGTACCACATAACAATAAGGAAATCATTCCCACAGTCATACAGCATATGTACAACATTGGCTATACCTGTGAAAAGATTGGGTCATTTCTAACACACAGGCAGAGACCAAATAATAAACTAACAGCAACAATCAATATACTCAAATACCAATTGAGCTATGAAGACAGCCATCAGCATGAGAAGTCCTGATTAAATATGATTCCTAAATGTCCTCTTAGCCTTCCTCTACCCATAAAGAAGAGAGCCAGTGAGCCAGAATTTCATCAGTGCAGAAGCTGGGAAGATTCACTTTCAGAAAGAGGGTGTGGAAAAAAGAGGCAAGGAATGCAGAAGCTACACCATTCTCCAAAGGTACTTCTCCCTGGAGGAGACACCCTGCCCAGAACTCAGGTGACCAAATAATAAACTAACCGCAACAATCGATATTCTGAAATATCAGTTGAACATTGGCAACAATCATCAGCATGATTAGACACACTGGTTAAATATGATCCACACAGGTCCCTTTATCATCACTCTCCTCTTGAATAGGAGAACAAATTCAAGAAGCTGGGAAGTGTGACTTTCAGGAAGGTTGTGTAAAGAAAGAGGCAAGGGTTGCAGAAGTCACACCATGCTCCACAGATACTCCAGCCTGGAGGTGTGCCTTGTTCAGCACCCATGTGACTAAATAGTAAACTAACAGCAACAATAATATTCTCAACTACCACTTCAGCTATTAGGCCAGCCATAAGCAAGATATGTCCTGATTAAATATGATCTCTAAAGGTCCTCTTAGGATACCTCTTACCTTGAAGAGAGCTAGTGAACAAGGTTTTTCAATCAGTCTAGAGGTTGGGAAGATCACTTTCAGGAAGAGGGTATGGAAGAAAAAGGCAAGGGATGCAGAAGCTGCCCCATGCTGAAGTTGATGCCCTGATCAGCACCCAGGCACCAAATATTAAACTAGCAACAGAAATATCCTGATTGATACCAACTGAGCTATAGGGACAGCTATCACCTCAATGAGATCCCCGGGTTAAATAGGACATGTTGGGTTCCTCTTAGCCTCCATTTCCCTTGAAGAAGAGATCTAGTGAATCAGCTATACAATAGAATAGATCACTTTCAGGAAGAGGGTGTGGAAGAAAGAGGTAAGGGACGCAGAAGCTGCTGCGGGAGCTCCTTCTGCTCCTTCAGCCAATAGCCTTTAAGATACCAGCCCACTGGGGCGTGTTTCTTTGACTTGAAAAAGCAGCAGTAGCCGCATGCTCCCTCTCTTGCTTCAGACTCTGCTTCTGGCTACCAGACGCCTTTCCTGGTCATGCAGGGGCTGTTGTCTAGGACGGCAATCTGTAAGTTTTTGCTTTTAAATAAATAACCCTTTTATTAATCATAATTCCAAACTTGTGTGGGATTGTTTTGTGACTTACTCCTTGAAGAAGCTATACCATGCTCCACAGATTGTCCCACATGAACAAGTGATGCCCTGTTCAGTATCCAGGTGACCAAACTATAGACAACAATCCATATTCTAAAATACCAGCTGAGCAATATGGTCAGCCATCATTACAAGAGGCAGCCAGCTTAAATAGGATCCACGGAAGCCCTCCTCATCTCCCTCTCCCTATGAAGCAGAGATGTACTTCAGCGAGAGACGGTATAATAAGAAGGTAATAGAACAATAATCAGTTCGTGTCCTCGGTGCAATTTCTACAACAAAGATGAATTGCACACCGTGATAGTAAAATAGAGAATAACCTTGATGTAGTGGGTAAGGTCAGGCATTGTGAATTCAGAAAGGCAACTCAATTGCAGAGGTGCAGATGTTGGAGGAGGTCTGTGGCTCCTTACTCCTTTGGGCCTCACAAATCTTAACAAGGAAACTATTTGAAGAACTGGCAGGAGATAAGTGGAGCTTGAACATCATCCTATATATCATGGTCCCTGATCATTTCACATATGTGGAAAACATCCTTGATGGTATGCACAAGTTCATCACCACCACAGAGTGTCCCATTCCCTACATTTGTCAAATCCCTATCACATTATGGTTGCACATGGAATGACACTGGCTGGGCCACATTCAACAATGTACACCACATGCCACTAAGGAAATCATTCCCAGAGTCATACAGCCTATGTCCTCCGTGGGCTAGAAATGTGAAGGCACTGTGTCATTTCTAATACACAGACAACCAAATTGTAAACTAATAGTCACATCAATATTTTGAAATACTGAATGAGCTGCAGGGAAAGTCATAAACAAGAAGAGACACCCTGGTTAAATGTGATCCCTGAAGGTTCTCTGGGCCTCCCTCTACCCTTAGCGGGAGAGCAAGGAACCAGCTTTTCCCATCAGTATAGAAGCTGGGGAGAGGGTACAGAAGAAAGAGCCAAGGGATGCAGAAGCTACAATGTGCTCCACAGATACTCCAGTCTGGAGGAAATGCCCTGCTCATCACCAGGCACCAAATAATAAACTAACAGCAAAATCAACGTTTAGAAATACAGTTGAGCATGAGAAACAGTATTCAACCAGATAAGACGTCCTGGTCAACTATGATGCATTCACATCCTCTTATTCTCTCTCTCACCTTGAAGGAGTTAGTGAACCTTTCTTTCATGTTGTCATGAAACACACAGTACAATGAAAATTGCAACAGTACATAGCTTTATATACACTTTAGGTAACAGCCATAAGTACGCTTTCTCCACCATCACCATAAGACCACACACACACACACAGTTCCTTAAAGCATCATCACCATCACCTCTGCTCACCATATACTACTATTGCTCAGGTACTACTGGAGACGCCCCTGATATTCTACATTGATCGCCATGTGTCAGACCCTATTATACATAGACACTTCACAAATGCTGCCACACAACATGCAGTGCTGTATTCATAAGACACTGTAGAGCATCTCCCTAAAGCTCCCACAGAGTCATATCAATATCACGGTTGTGCACTCTTCAGGCCTTATTAGACACCCCTAATGCTATCGTCAAATTCATGAGTGCTCTACTTGTTATCAGGCAACCTGGACACTCCTTCCATCACCAAGGCAGTCTGAAACTCACTCTTTGATTTCAGGGCTTGCTTACCACCTACCTGAGCCCGTGGGCGACACTATGTATCACATACCTCTGCACTCTACAATCCTGAGCCTCAAATTGTGCCTAACATCAGGCAATGCTCAGTGTCTCTTACTACACCTCTGTTAACTGCCCGCAAGGAACTGCTAATTTTCAGCCATGCTAAATCCCCTGCCACTGAATAGTAGTGTATGCAGGCAAGAAAACAGTGAGAGGCTTTGCATTGTATGCATGCCTGGATCTGCACTGAAATTGTATTTGGAAAGGGCATGAATGTCAGGTAAATTCTAACCTAAATGTATATGTGGATTGTGGGCTGTCGGTGTCCATCAGGACCTGACACGTAGTACTTTGGGGTGTGTGGCAGATCTAGCACAGCACAGCCTGGTGCCTTGCAGTCATTGTAGGGAAGAAGGAGGGTGTTGTGTTCTACATGCATCCAGCAATGGGTGTGGAGCAGGGCTGGGGAGTGTGCAGCTCTAGGATTTCCGGGCTCCAGAAGCAGCAACATGGAGACTCACCAGCTCCAGAAAGCCCAATATATTTCTTCAACCTCCTCTTCCTCCTGGGCTTAGGGAAAAGTTGACAGTCAGAGATGTACGTGACCACAGCTTTGGAAAGTTATCACTCTGTATCTGTCTCACATCCTTAAGCAGTAATCTTGGGGGTTGCATGCGTGTAAAGAGCGATACACAGAACACATTGGCCTGTCTGCCTGGACACCGCTGACACTGCTAGGCAGTAAACCACCATCTTGGCTTAGAACAGGAATTTGTTCTCTCCTGGGCTGAGTCAGAGGCCAGGCTCTCTCTAGATGTCCTGAGGAGTTGTCTCCTCAAGCCGTTCTCCAGTCTCTCTATTTGTTGTGTGGTGGCTGCAGAGCTCACATGAAAACAGTTAGTGTTCTCTGGGTTGTTTCTGATCTTCCTCCTTATGAGCAGAAACTTACATAGATCTCTTCTGTAACTGTTGCATGAACATTGTAGAGTTTGGATCTGGGGCAGGTGTAACATTTGAGATTGTGTTGAGTTTCTTAATGGGTTTGCTATTGACTGCTTTTGCATAGTTAACCTGCAGCCCTTGGAGGACAGTCCATTTTCACTGTCTAGCTGGTTTTGGATGCCACTGAGAAAGTTAGCTGACATAATGTGGGTAGGTCTGTCACTTTAACAACAGTGACGGGTGCTGAGAAATAGGGGTGTGTGAGAGATATATTCCTTTGTCTTCTACTCAGACATCCTAAACTCTTCTGAATGTCAATTAGAATAAATCTCTTGAAATTTTACAACAATAATTCAGTATTTGTTCATTGTTTCTCCAAGACAAATGGCATACTATACGAGCAGAGGACCCCAAGTACACCATGTACTGGAAAAGGGGCCCCTGGACACTGCCCTTCACAGGCAATGCTGTCCCAATACTTTGCAAAGAGGCTCATTAGTTCCCACACGCTCTGCTGGGGCACTTTTTCAATCTGCACAAGTAGGTTTACTGGGGCATCTGTCAGAATAGAGAGGCGTAGGTCACCTTTCTGCACTGTCAAAACAAGCACAGCATCGAAGAGGAACAAGGACTCCACAGTAGAACGTCCACCGGGAGGCTTCCACACATTGATCCTCCTTTAACCCGCAGAATTTGCTGATAATGGAGTGGGGGGTCTGTGATAGGAAGCTGCAACAGAATTCATTTCATTGTCATACCCAGGATATCCTTGGGGAGCTTCTGAACTGGAGAGCTCAGGAAAGGGCCTGCTAGTTTTCCAGTGAAAAGAGAGAGCTCTCCTACATCACTAGCTCTAGTGCTGAGTGTGCACGTCCTCAGGTCAGGAATTTCTGGGTGTGTGTTTCAGGATGTGATCAGGCACCTGCAAGAGAAGAAATATTAGAGACCAATATAAGAGCTGGCTAAGATTCCACATACCCGAAGCTCAAGAAATCTGCCCAAAGAGGATAATGGCAAGTTCACTTTTAATGCAGTTCAGCGACTAATGAGACACGCATAATAATTCCCATTGTCTTCCCATGTGCCATTCCCTAGGCCAACCTCATTATGGTCTCTTTGGAGACCTCAGACTGCAGGAAGTGATATCTCTTGGCTGCACTGCTACTTTGCAGGAAGGAGGGTTTGAGAACAAAGAATTAATTGCAGCATCCAAACATTATGCCTAAACACGGGCATTCTGCTTGCTGCACCCCATCTCACTTACACTTGCCTACATCAGACAGGATACATCCCTGGTGAAAATGAGCATCCACAATAGAACAAGTCCTAAAGAGTCTGCAGACATTCGGAGAGAAAGGACAGAAACTAGAGATCTGGAGGAGACCTATGAGACCACTAGGGATCCAACATTATTAATATGGTCATCATAGCTCAGTCAATAGGTCACTGGGTGAACATTAAGCAGTTTCCAAATCAAATATACTTTGTCCAAAATAACATCTCAAAGAATCAGCTTTGTCCTCTGCACGATGGATACCTGAGGACAGCTTTGGGGATGATGTGTGTTCAGTTCCTGCTACAAATAGTTGGTACTAAGTGCACCTGTTCCTGTCCATCCAGCAGACCAGCAGTGGAGGATGGAAGAGTTGGGTGTGGAGTCCTAGTTTTTAGCTGACTTCTATTCTCCCAGGTGAAAGGCAACATGTCTCCCTGAGTAGAAGGGACACACAAAGTCACCATCAGACCCAAGGCAATTCTCAGTATAAACAGAAATATACCTCACATCTCTTTATACTGAGACAATCTCCTGGGTCTGGAGCCAGTGATTCTCTTGGGCTGTCTCTCCTGGGAATCACTGACCTGGACATAGCACCCAAGTCTCCCTTCCCAGGCCTTAGCTTCAGTAAAGTGCATTAGGACTGAAACATCCCACTGATGTACAGTGATTATGACCACATAAGTAAGAGCCTCAGTGTCTCACAACTGCTTTTCCTTGCAAGGCTGTCTGCATCCTCCTGCTCAAAGGTCTTCAGCCAATTACAGACTAAGTAGCTGGCCTGTGGCAGAGTGATTGTCCTCCCATACAGGTGTAAGAAGATATTCACCCTCTTCTCCTCAAACATTTCTTCCACAATAATTTGGGGCGAGAGGGCCAGAGGGCAGAGATGCATTGCTTGTCATAACTTATCCCCCAAATTCCTCTGAATCTATTTGTCTGTTGTCCTTCACTACGCCTCTACCCCTCTGCATCATGAGCTCAATAACCACCTTCCTGGGAACTGAAAAGGGTGGCTTTGGCAGCCATATGCTTATCAGTGTCAAGGATAATCAGAGAACATAAACCTCTCTCATACAACAGGATTAAATTAGTATTTTCAGTGATACCTTCAGCATTTGAGACCCACACTGGAGCCCTGGCATTCAGTCCTGCCTGGAAAGTGTGCACTCTATATTGCAGAGAGCAGAACCCTACTTGAGAGTGTTCATGACAAGCCCATAGCCAACATTGACAGGAGACCTCCTAACCAGACAACCGGGCTGGAACCCCAGCTCTATGGTCAAGGCTCTCTCTAAGCCTGACCATTGATGTGGGGTATGAATAACATGTACTTCCCAGATTGCTGACTGACTCGTGTATCCACTGTGTCCAGGACAGGCAAGCATTACCCACCTTCCAAGGTGAGGCAACCTCCCAGCATCCCATCCACACTTTCACCCATTTCTGTTTACCTTGCAGTCACTGTCCTGTCAAGACACAAATACGGTTCTGGTAAACATCACAGAGTAACTGGTCCTTTCTCCAACATCTAGACTGAACCAGAATGCAGCGGGACTGTGTCTCCTGTGTGGAGAGTGACAAAGGGATATAGGCAGGATGCAAACACAACAGCAGACCTGGGAGGAAGACGGTGGAGGGGATTCACCTCTCCCCAAAGGGACATAACTTTCCTTTGGACTTGACCTTGATAGGACAGAAGGATGAATGAGCATTGTTCTTCTAGGTTCATGAAGACTGGTCCATAGGTGCTTGTAATTCATGGGTAGATTTTGTGGGGTTTCTCAAGGCTCCACTATTAGAACGATGCTAGGGAAGGCCATAAGTGGGATATATATCATGTTTACTATGTGTTCCTCTGGAGAAGCCTACGGTAGAGGTTTTGTCTCTTTTTGTACTGGACTTCTCTGCAGTAAAGCACACAGCCATCTGGACTAACTGCAGGGCTCCCAGATCTGCCTTCTCAGTCACACCACAAAAACACCCACGTCAGGTCTCAACCTGCAGAGAGGCTTATCCCTTACAAGATCATTACGTCATACTCAGGACTCCTGGACAAGAGACCTCTGCTGAGGCAAAGCTGGCCTGCCACCTCCACACAGAGGTGTGAGTTGCTGTGAAGATCCTGGTAAGTGGTAGGACACATGACTACAACAAAATAACAGAAATCAACATCTTCAAAGTGCTGGACCAGTCAAACATCATCTAGCTTTGCCACATCATCAATAATAGACATAATAGAGACCATTAATACATAATGGAGTATGCAATAAAGGGAGATCTGGGAGGCCACATTGACAAAGTGGGCTGTCTGCAGGAGGAGCAGGCCCAGCACATCTTCACTCAGATGGTGTGTGCAGTTCACTACTGTCATGAGAACAGCATTATACATAGGGTCATGGAGAATCAGAGAGGCTTATCACTTAAATAGGATCCCTAATCATACTCAGGACTCCTGGAAAAGAGAACTTTGCTGAGGTATAGCTGGCTGTCCCCTCCACACAAGGGTGCAAGTTGCTGTTAAGATTCTTGAAAATAGTAAGAAGAATGACTGCAAAAATATGACAAAAATCGACATCTTCAAAGGGCTGGACCAGGCAAACATCATCTAGCTGTTCCACATTGTCAGTACCAAAGAACACACCTATATGGTGATGGAGCATGCTGTTCACGGAGATCTGGGGAGCCACACGGAGAAAGTGGGCTGTCTGCAGGAGGAGCAGGCCCAGCACATCTTCACTTAGATGGTGTGCACAGTTCACTACAGTCATGAGAACAGCATTGCACACAGGGTCATGAAGGGTCTGTGAGGATCTCCTCTTCAGAGGCACTGCTTTTTGGGTCCATCTGCATTGTCACATCCTCTCTTCTCTTGCTCAGAAGTTTCTTCATAATTTCCACACCAACTGGACAAAACCAGAGGAGAATAAAGAGGATTGGGTCAAGGAGTAACGTTTGTGACTTTCAAATTCTACATGGAAAAAGGACAGACTTCTGAAGCAAACTTATAATAAACTTTTGGGTCACAGAAAAATAAGAATAAACCAAAATCCAAATAAGTACCTGGGAAATATTCTGAAGATGAGAACAGAATGTAAGGAAATGGACAACAATGAACACACAGAGACGTAAAAACTAGATTATTGAAAAGGAAGAACAGACCCCAAAGTGATCAAGAAGGAGAAGATACAGTGGAAGTCTACAGACAGAGATTTTCTGTTACAGAAAAAATGGCTAGAATCACTGGAATCATGTAGGAGTATTTTGGACACAGAACAGTTGTTTTATTTTGACATGGAGACAGCATATCTATTCTATAAATGATTTTGAAGATAAAATGTGTTAGTAAATCTATACCAAACCATTTCATTAGCAGTCTTGGGATTAAATTTTGCTACCTTGTTCACTACTAAGTTCTTAATAACTGAAACAATACAAATCATATAACCATGAACACTTGGGATACTTTCTTAATGAAATTATAGATTACAAATAGTAACAGAATCAACATGCCTGAAGACATAACTAAATCAGAGGGACCAGAAGGATCACGATGCACAGTTTAGCAGATGCTGTTTATGCTGAGGGAAAGAAATGCAAATTATTAATTTATTTATTACATACCAAGAAAACCTTTGTATCCCCAGATTCTAAAGGAATCATCAAAAAGCTTATGCTATCAGAATACCTACTTTTCCCGTTCCCAAACTGTATATTTTACTAGAGATAATTTGGTGAATATGATGATATTTCAGTTGTTAACACCACAGTGAAAATTATTCCTTAAATAATGTAGAACACCATGATGCAATAGTTAGTAGTCATTTGCATTCATGCTAACTCAATTCATGAAACATTTCTCAGAAATCCATATTAATCATATACTAAGTCATAAGTACATTTATAACTTATTTTGAATTTTCAAATTTTTTCTTAATCTTTTAATATTTGTGACAATTTCAACCATGATTATTCAATTTACATTCTTTTCTTTTACTGCTCTTTTTTTAAATCTGATAATGTGTCTCCTCAGGGCATATAACGGGGATGATGTTTTCTGATAAGATGACGTCATGAAACCAGTCATGAAACACGTCCCAATGTCCCCCACTCCCACTGTTAGGAATCGCACAGTAACATCAAGCTATTCAGCCAGAACATATACACAGAGGACCTAGGTAAGACCCCATTCCACAAAGGCCCCCATATTCCTGGTCAATTGATTCTTTGGGCTGTGTTCCTGTGGTGTCCCTGACCACACTTGTTCACATGTTCCCTTATCTGGAAGTATTTTAAATCGTTAAATCTTATGAATTATAAAACTGGAGCAAAGGGACAAATGTCTACATATGTAACCTCCCAAAACTGAAAAGAGGGCAAATAAAAACCTAAGCAGGTCAATAGTGAGAAACATAGTTCAATATTCATTGAAAAAAAATCTGAAAAAAAAGTTTTAGTCCAGTGACATGATTGGATTCTATCTTTCTCAATATCTGGAAAAGGACCCCATGAGAACCCACTAGCTCATTCTGCAACCTTACTGTTATGCCCTATTGATGAAGACCACACTTATGTATGTCATCCAACACGGAGAAGTTGAGCTGGTGCATAACCAGCAGCTTCACCACTGACTGATGTTCATGATACAGGAATGTACTCTGCATGCTAATGGAGGAGAAAGATAATCATCAATATCATCCAGCTAAAACCCTAGGACTACAGTGACCCATCTGCAAAGTGGACTGGTACAATAGTGGCACAAATACTATGGCAGTAAGCAACCACTTTTTGATTGGATTGAAGGTCACTCCAGGAGATGGACGCCATACCTGACACTGCTAAAGGGGCCTAGAAACTGAGAAGGTCATTTAAGGTCCTAGGGAAAACCAGATACTATTATTCTACTAAAGGACAGTGATAAAATGACTCTTAATGATATATGGCTATATCTAGATGTATATGTATGTATGTATGTATATATGTATATATGTATGTGTCAAACAGCCCGTGCCAGTGTAGCCCATTCTTGAAGGTGATGGAATTAACACTGAGACTCACAACAATGTAGAGAGTGTGTGAGACTTTGGGATACGCAGTCCTAAATGGGAAGGATTCATGAAAACCTTCCCTCAAGGTTGAGGGAGCTATTCAGTGAGGAGATAGAAAGACACTAAGAGCCAGAGGTAGTAGATGATGCCAAGGAAACAGAGAAACCCTGTATTCCACATATAACATGGCTGAGGAACACATGGATTCAGAGACTGTAGCAATACACAAAAGTATACAAAGGTTCAAGCAGATGGAGGTTCTTGCACTGAAAAGAGGAAGGGGACACAGGGTTCCAACCCTAACCAAGAAGACATCTGCAATTGTTTCCTGATGGTAAAGGAAGAATAAGTTATCTCCAGTGGTTTCTCACTGGGTATCCTCACCACTCCTCTAGGTAGAATCCTTGCCCTAAATTAATGCCAAACTCAAAATGAACCAATAAATTTTGATACACAATTGGGCTCACTGTCCTTTCTTTGAGTATCTTATACATCTTGAAGTCTTATTCTGGTTTTTTTATCTCTGTTTTATTAATTTTTTTAACTGAAAAAGAGATAAATCTTATCTCTGTAAGGTTGGGGAGCTGAGGAGGGTCTGGGAGGAATAGACCAGGGAGGAGGGAATAATCAAAATACATTAGTATAAAAGATTTCCAGTGATGAAATATCAATAAAATGAAAGACTGATATGAATGTATTCATATATAAATTCTACCCAAGATTGAAAAAATTAACACTAATATTCCTCCAAGTATCCAGTAAGGGTGAAGGAGACACTTTACAGCATGTTCTACACAGTCTGCAGGAGCCACTGCCAGACCTGCTGACGTCAGCGCCCTCCCTTATCCCCCAGTTGGGAAAACAGCACCTAGAGCCACAAGTTTCCCTCTGAACTCCATGTGTCTGGGTTGTGACACAAACTGATGAACACACACAGCAAAATAAATAATGTAAAATAACCCTAAGTGTGAAATGAACAGGAGGTGTAAGGGAAGAGTTTATGTACCTATATACGACAATCCTTAATGAAAGAAACTGAAACCTTCTAGCAAGTTCAACAACACAGAAACAAGGACAAGTTCGTGCTCAAAATGAGTTCATCACTTAACAGCAGAAGGACAATTCTAATATAAATTTTGACAAATAAAACATCTAAAGAGGATACAGGACAAAAAGTCCATAGTTCCAAAAATGAAATTTAATTTTTTCCAGAAAACAGTTGCAAATGAAAATGACTTTGTTATGTATGACTTGCCAGTCTCCAAAGGTAAATTTGAGGTAACATAAGACAGGCCAGGGGGGACATAGAATAGGACAGTAGTCTCCCTGGGACTGTCCACAGTGTTCTGGGAAGGAGCCTGGGTGTCTCAGCCACCACAGATTCTTTAGACAAACAGTGATGCTCAGAGTCCTAGGTGGTTCAGGATCCTGGCCTGGACTCCTGACTAACCACAATTAGGAACAAGGGCTGATGGCCTAATCCACACTCCAAAGAGGTTTAAGAAAGAAAGAAAGAGAGAGAGAGAGAGAGAGAGAGAGAGAGAGAGAGAGAGAGAGAGAAAGAAAGAAAGAAAGAAAGAAAGAAAGAAAGAAAGGAAGGAAGAAAGAAAGAAAGAAAGAAAGAACATTGTGGATCCCATGAAAGCAAAACAGTCTTGGAAGACAGCAGTCAATCAGGACGTACCTGGTGTTGCTTGAGTAGATGAGAAACTCCTCTTCCAAATCCGTGCCAAACTGCATTGTCTGTGAGCACAGCCTCTGCCACTGGTGTCCTCCAACTGAAAGCCCTGCCTTCAACAGCACATAACTGTCACCAACTGACTCTTAGCCACATTCCTCGTGCCGTGGGTTCTGATCTGTGACCTGATTGGTGATAGGCACTGAAATGAACCAATCAGATTCGGTAACTAATCACAACTTCCTCATTGGTCAGGTTGCAGTCATGTGACTCGTGTCTGCTCTATAGTGATTTCAGGCTGACCTGGACTGCAGCTGGGGTCCTGTGAGAGCAGGGTTAGAGTAGAAGTTTTGCTTGTTCTCTGCCTATTGTGCGGAGACATCCCAGCCGGGCTGCATCTCCCCTCACTTCTTCCTTTCCAGAGTCTCCTTTCTGTATGAGACCAGACTCAGTTTCTGAAGGTCGGATTGGGGTTCAGTCTCTGTTTCTGGTTTATCCTGAGTTAAAGGGTCATCGGTCGATATCTGTACACTGTTGACTTGTGATCAAACAAATTAATCCATTAATTTGTATTTCTCAGTTGAAGCAACTTCCAAAGATTATTCCATTTGTGTTTTTTCATTTACTTTGGGAAAACATTTCCAATCACTTGGTGAACTTGTTCTCAAATTCCCAGATGCAGTTTTCACATTTCCTCAGTATTGCTGCCCAACCAGGAACTCGTTCTTTTAAGGTCTATTGAGAACTTCACATATGAAGACTGCATCTAAATATCTTCCACCAAGCCCATTCCCCTTTGTACCTCAGTTTACCTCATGTACTTCTCAAATTATGATCGCTCTACTGAGCAACAAGCATGTGTATGTGTGGTTTGTGCACATACTTACACACATGCATTTCTAACCTACTGAGTCCAATCAGCCTTGATCATTTGCCCCTGTGTCCAGATTGGACCAATAGGGACTGGACAGCCTATGTGGGATCTTGTCCCTGTAGAGGAAGCATTCCCCCTTTCATAGGTAATGACAACCGGTAGTTCTTCTAGTGCTGTTCCATGTGGCATCGCCCTGTCCACATTTGCACACGAACTGCTGTTGTCAGGTGTCTCTTGTATATGTAACCGCATTATTGAGAGGCCGGGTTTACAGGTTCCTTAAAAGACACAACTGCAGATCAGCACGTGAAGATTCAGCACGGCATAGTCACTTCTCTGCATTTTGACAGGTTGAGTCTCTGTAACAGTCCCCTATTAGAAAGGAAGCTGCTTTGCTGAGGGCCAGTTGCTGGACTTCTCTGTGGGTACAAGGTTATGCATTTGGAACACGGTTAGACATCACATTGGTTTTAAAAAAAAAATAGAAGTAGTTGTTCTCTTCTACTCTCTGGTCCATGACGTCTTCTGTGGAGGAGCAAAAATGTGGGTCTATTTTCTCCTTGTCTGAAGTCAGAGAACTTCAGTTTGCTTAAAGTTGTTGACAACAACTATGGTTGCACACCCTGGCCTAGGGTGTGGTTACTTGGTGTTTTGGACACTAAGATGGCCGCAGAGGTAGATCCTCTCCACCCTGACCAATGATCAGAGAGTTGGAACTTACTTCTGTTCCTTCAAGGTTATTGTCTGTTTCCACCTCAAACAGAGGGCCCACCTTGATTTAGACCAGAGAGTTTTGTGCTCTCTCAAGGTTATTGTCAACAGGTGTGACTAATATTCAGACCTTGTGTTTCAGGTATAGAGAGGTAGATCTCTTTCTACCTCTAACAAAAGTCTAAGGATCCAACTGTGTTACTGCTTCATTAGGGGGAGATAACAATGGATTCCACCCAGGGAGTGGTTTGCCTACAGAATGTTTTGGTCTAGGGTGTGAGCTTTACTTGTCTTGTTCTGACAACAGGTTTTAGGCCACAATCCTTCAACTGTTTTGTTAATTGGTTTGTATCATGTTAATGAATTTTTTATCTTACTACTACCTCTTGTGGTCTGAGTATTTTAAGAAAATGGAAATTAAATGTGGGCAATTTCATATTCACTGGAACTCCCTCCCAGTACCTTCCTGAGTCTGTTTTATTTTCACCCATGTCTTCATTCTCTTATTTTTCTCGTCCTCATTCCCCTACCCTGGTAAGTGGTATACTTGTCGAAGCCAGTCTCCAACAGTCTTCAGCCAAGGTTGTTTGTCTAGGTTTGCAGTACCAGACATACATGCCTTAGCCAGGTGTTTGTTTCCCCGAGATAAAAGCGCCACTATTGCACCATTGCAGCTATCTCGCAGGCCCGTTCATTTCTGCAGATAATAGAACTGCAGATGGGTGAGCCAACACATTTCTCCTCTCCTTGTCAGTTTACACAATGCCTTCTGAGGATGTGAAGGCCAGTTCTCAGGAGAATTTTAGGTCAACTAGACTGTAACTCCTCCAATTCCCGTGTTGGAAGGGTGTGGTATCTTCACCAATAGGATCTGAACTTGAAGATCTGGCTGGCAACCAATGACAACAGAAATAGCCTATGTTGGCCTGAGAGTCTCTTAGACCCTTCCCACCCCCCGTAAATTAACTCAACAGGAAAGTTTTTTTTATATGGTCTCATCGTTTTGTTAGGTTTTGACTCTTGCTGGTAGCATTATCACCTCAAATGGTACAACTTCATTTATACATCATACACAACTGCACACTCATGTATTTTATCAATGTACATTTAGCTTTAATGAGGAAAAATTCATCTCAGAAAGAGTGTAGGCAGCCATGCCACTATAAGATATGTTTAATTTAAATCTTTCCTTGACTGAAGAATTTCCAACATGCTAGAACATTCTAGTCCTAGGAAGGAGACTCTTGAACTAGAGTCTGAGGCTTCACACTGCCGGCATCCAGTTTTTGCCATGTGTGCAATGCCTAGTCCATGAGACAATTTGAATTCCACATGATGGAAGGCTCTGGCTATGGAACCCACACCACATACATGAAGTTGCTCTTGTTGGATGTAGCAGGAGAACATGGCACGGTGTTCGTCCCAAGTTTGTCCATTTCTGTAACATTCCAGTGATGTGGTTGCATCTCTTGAAGGTCTGGGAAATCTTCAGCAAAATGATACCACAGGGCCAACCATCCTTACCAAAGTACTACCAAAAATATGGCAACGCCACAGAGAGGGTGCTCATGGGAGTACTTATGTCTAAACTCATCCACACAACGATGCTCTTGAACAGGTGAAACAGGGGTCCTTGGCCTTCAGCTCAGCAGACAGCGCCTGCGCACATTGTCACTATCTGCCAAGTTCACCCAGTGCACACGCAGGAATGCTGCCTCTTTCTGATGTTCCATTTCCTTACTTACCAGGGGATGAAGTCCCACTCAAATACATATACACTATGTTCACCCTGAAATGCTGGAACCTCACCTGCAGAAAACTGGAGAAAATTAGGACTTCTGTTGGTTTGGAGAAAGAGGAAGTGGGGTGGTGTGGAGGGCATGTGGACCTGAGTTCTTTTGGGAGCAGTGATGAGGGCCGGGAAGACTCTGCAGATTTCTGGCTATAATACAGATCCACAGAAAAGAGGATAGGGCTGTCAGAGCCTCCTCAATGCTATGTATGTGTTTTTAAGTAAACATAATATGATGTTTCCCTATGGCATCTTCAATATTTCGTGGTGGTGCTATTACCCAATGGTTCACTTCCTCCCCCTTGCCCAGAGGACATATCTGCCTTTTGGGTGTCCAAAGGTCCTTGCACCCATAGATCACTAGGAAAACCAGAAGTCTAACCACACATGGGACTCTTCTTAATGGAGGAGAAAAAATCCCTCTTTTCCCACCCAGAAGGCTGAGAGTTGATTTTGTTAAGGACCTGGTGACCACTCTGCTGTCTGTGAAGGCAGACCTCACCCACCTTTTGCTATAGAGGAAGCCCTCTCCCAAACTGCCCACAATGATGATTCTTAACTCTTCCCTCCCTAGACCATTACCCTTCCTTAGAGAAGATGTCACAAGTACCTTATGGCCTGTGGACCTCTATGCTCTCTCAGTCAGAGACCACAGTAGATTCCAGGTTTTAGCTATAGCCCTCAGCCTCATAGTCAGATGTACTTGTCACGGAGTTTCCATGTAGCAACACCTTAAGCTTCATTGTGCACCCAGAGTTGGAGTGATTGTAACCTGGAAACACTTTTACCAAATTGTACAGTGTTTTAAATATGCTGACAATGAACTGCCTGGCATTAGCCTCCTAAAAGTCAGATCCAGACTGAAGAAGTCAATCTGAACTGGGTTTTCCCTCTCATCTCTTCACAGTTCAGAGTCTGAATTAACACCTCCTGGATCCCAACTGCCCACCTGTCTTTCCAATTTTCCTTTTTCTAACACTTGTGTCCTATTATCCCCCTCTTAGTTACCAGTCATACCTTCAGTCACCTTTATATTTTTGGTTTTTGTGGTAAGTTCATGTAGTGTTCTCATAGCTAAAGATTTGGAGCTATAATCCATAGAGAGCATAGAGAAGTTGACTCTCTAGCTTATAACTGCTCACTCCGTTTCGTACATGCTAGTTCCTTCCATTTACCAGCTTATTTCTTGATCTCATTTTTCCTTATAGAAGAGTAGAATCCCATTGAGTATATTTACCACATTTTCCTTATCAGTTCTTCAGCTGAAGGCCATTTTGACTGTTTCCACATTTTGTTCCTATTGTGTTTAGGGTGGCAATGAACATGGCTGAGCATGTATCTCTGGAGCAGAATGTCCAGTCCTTTGGGCATACATCAGGGAGTGGTATAGCTGGACCTATGCGGATTTATATTTAGCTGTCTTTGGAGAATTCTGAACAATGATGTGCTGGGTGGTTGGCCCTTGGCATCTATTTGTTGTTGTTGCTGCTGCTGCCACTGCTGTTCATGAATATTATGTAGACGTCCAGCCTGCTATGTGGGTCAAAGACATCAGCAAACTTTTTATGATTACTGGTTAGGGAGAATTTATCTCTCTTGTGGGAGAAAGTTGCAGTGTTCCCTATAGACATTCCCTTAACCATGTTCTCTAATATTATAATCTGTTGGTTCTCTGTTTCATTTCTCACTCCAGATAGGAGTCAAACATGATCGCATTCAGGATAAATCCCCCTTTTAGAGATGGATTTCTATAATTC